TTGCTATCCTATTAAAAAGCCAATTCTATCATAAAATATGGAAATAGGAATAATTTGGCAACGAATTCGCGGCCCACCAGTGTATTGATTAGGGCTGGGAATGGTTAACGGTTACGGTTTATTTTAACCGTTAACTGGCATTTCAGGTACAGATCATTTTTATACTGTATAATTTCTTCAAAAATGATTACGTCATCGCAAATTTATTTCCTGTTTAATTCAAAAGAATATCACTAACTGTGTGTGTAAAGACTCAATAAATGTGAAAAATAGTTGAAGTACCAAGATTACTAATTATGAAAATTTACAATGATAAATTCAGAATCAGTTTTTGGTTGAAATATATTGTTCACAATTTTATTGCAAAGTCGTAAATACAATGTCATCCAACAAATGCGCAGATGATGCCGTTTTTCTTTATGATATCTCGAAGTAGGCTTTTCTAAAATGCTCCAGCATGTCCGAACCACGCTGCATATCTCTTGCAGCAGAGCAATCATGTACTATCTCGACTTGTGAATAATATTGAGCTATACCGGATCACGCGAAATTGCATAACCATTGTGACGTAACAAGGAGAAATTATAAATTATTACGTCAAACGTCACGCTGCGGTTCACCGGTTAATTTTACCCGGTTAACGGTTAAAATGTTTTCCCTGAAATTCCCATCCCTAGTATTGATTGATTTTAATCAAATTGACTGTTCTCTGTGGAAAGAAATAAACTTAGTCCAAATTTTTATTGGTGTATAGAACAACGCCGCCAACTTTCTCGATCGATAATGAGAGTAGAAATCGTGAATGGCAACATAGATTAGCCGGGAAATTGTATGTCGACGTGAGTGAAACTCAATTCTCATGGGCAATGAAGTCTCGGTTTGCAAGTACAGGAATGTAGAAGATTCCCATACTCCATTGTGAAACGCATATCAAACCAGACATATTACCTGAAAGATCGGATGATGACATATTCAAAACATCTGACGACACCTACAAGGAAAATATCAACCGCTTGATCCTCCACTCGAGTTACAATGTTTCCTGAGTTAGAAAAGCCAAGCTCCAACAGGAAAAGTATGAACTTATTTACGTCTCCAGGAATCGTCGTGTTTAAGTTTGTATCAAAGTTCATTCTGAAAGGCAAATTTTCAACGAAGATGACTGACATTTTACTGGTGAATCTACAGGCTAAAAAGATCGTTTAACACATTCCATATTTAACATATCATGTCTCATGCCCACAAAAGAATATTGGTCTTTGAGGTGTCGTAAAATGGATTTTTCAAAGCATAATTTTTGTACAATGCGCATTATGAAATATTCACATTGAGTAAAATTAATTTAAATTCACTTTTAACAAGTTGTATATCTGTGGTAAACCACCACAATTTAACATAAACATATCATTTCACTGGTCAATAAGTTAGAAATGAAGGGCTGGAGCCATGAAAAGAGGCTCATGATATAGGTTTCGGCAGTTTTGAGCTCCAAATTCCCGCCATCAAATATTTTAGGAGTATGGCCTTTGATGATTTGAATTTTGAAGTATCAGTTGAATACGTTTGTTTTCACTGCTTTCATTAAAATGGATTCTTGCGTTTCTTAATTGCGTAACGGTTTGTGTCTTTACATAGTGATGTTATAATACTGTGGATACATTTCATTTCGGCATTGGGTTATTTTATCCTGAAGTAAATGAGTCAATGTGAAAGGGACTTATGTCAGGCAACTTGTTTCTTTGATATTGTAGTATGGGTGTCTCTATCTGCGTATTCTTACTCCCGTATTATTATACACACGTTAGCGAGGTAAAACCCCAACGGACTCCCCAGAGGTCATGGAGCACACAATCTATTGTATTGTCAAATGTTTGTATATTGTTGAACGATCGAATTGAATCCAAACAGATATATTGAAATTTAGAATCTTAATACCAGCTATGAGGTTGAAATCCAAATCCGTAAGCAACATAAAACATGAAAAAGACCAACACAGGAAACGGGCCGGAAACACGTCACAAATTGGTCGATACGAAGGAAGGCTCAACATAAAGAGTAAAGTCTTTGCTACGATAAATCACCACTAGGGAATTTGCCGTGTTTCATACATTGTTACATCTGATATCCTTTGATTATCCTGAATATTCAGAATGTCACTTCACTATTCAAGTATCTAATATCGCTTGACCTGCGCCGATTTGTTGGAACTGGTATTCATTCGTATGCATCACTGAATTGATCTCGTAAATTCTAGGAGATTTTTCCCACGGCTCTTGCTAACACACAGAAACGACAAGTGTTACAAAAGTAGTTACGTTATTTCCATTTCGAATTTTGCTAAACGCGGGCCAATACCGTTTTGTAAATTTAGATGTTAAAGTAGATGTTTTATAAATTTCTTAGTTGGTGGGGCCGATAACGAACGAGACTCTGGCATGCTAAATCGTTATGATTATGCTCGGTTCAAAATGATATGGTATAACTTCTATTTCCTGCGTTGCTGGTTTTGTCAATTCCAGAGCAGTTGTAAACAATATTATCGGTAAACACATTCCAATATCCGGTAATAATATGAGGTTGTTCTGGTGATTTTGAATTTTTCCGAGGCGGCTTCATCTGCTCAAGGGCGTATCTTCTAGGTGTCCTTCTCATAGCTCTAACGCGAATGCGAAAAGCTTAATTTTGTTTTGAATTCTGTTTTGTTGGAAGTGTTTCTGATGCTGTTCTGTAGATTTGGGTTCCCCAGTCAAACAACAAACAAATTATAGAGTGGTATAAAAGTAACATTGTGTTGTAATTGTGATCTCCATTAGGAACCATTAACATATTTTAAAATATCTGATCTCTGTTTTGCTTTTCTTACGATCTTTTCTGTATGTTCTTTTCAAGTCATCCTCTTATGAAATATCATCGCCGATTACTCCAATACTCCCATTTGTAACTGAATTTTATTTTTTTTTAAATAACAGAGCTTATATATTTTGGGGATATCTACACTCCCCACGTAATACACCATTCTTCTATTTTTCAGATTCGTTCGAACGCTTCGTTCCAGAAAATTTTTTTTTTCTTGTTTTGTCAAAATCATCAGCAAACTGTCCAGCACAATCTGCATCTTGTAAACTATATAATACCCAAAAAAGGTAATATTCAAGTATTTCGATGTAAACAGTTGTCGTCTTGGAAAATGAATATATATATATATATATTTGTGTTGCACGATTCAGACGGGTATGACTTTGTGTAAAATATCCTTTATGCAGAATTATACAATTATTTTGAAAATACAAAAATTTTACTGTGAATAAATATACTTTTAGTTATGTCATTGATTCAAGGGTAAATTATCAATATTGCTGACAACGTCTTGTGGTTCTTGGAGCCTCCCAACGCCCCTTCCCTCCGTTGTTTAACATCTCGGACTGGGTAAGAACTATAGGACGTGGGCTAACTCGTTTGTATTCTGTGCGCAGGTGGGACCTTCCGTGAGATTAAGATACTTGGTTTAGATGAATTTTCTGACGAACTTGATGTCTTGGATACTTCATTCGCGGAATAGGTGACTTTGCAAGGCGGAAATTTTGGTTTTGAAAATTTGGAGCGGATGCTGTGAATTGGGGTTCGTTGTACTCGCGGGGGTTGTAGTACCTGAAGTCCCATCTCGGTTGGTTTTGGGGCGCAAAACCAACCGAGTACAACGAACTGATGATGGGAATATTCTCTTGAGGATGCCAGATTCAAACTTGAACGTGAACACGCTCGATCAGAACTAACTTGTTTGGTAAAACTCTTTTGAAATGGGCCAAGAATCAATATTTTTAGTTTTAGCATACCATGGCTTTATACGCACGTATTCCATGAATTTCCGAGTTCTTCTTGATGAGTGTCTTGTGATATGAATTGAAGCTGATCTACTGGAGTAACAATGAGTAAAACTCTGCTTCGGAAACATTCAGTATATGTCATTGCCAGTTTGTCTTAGACTTAGTACATGTATTTCGATATCTCGAATCCACAAATATGGACAGATTTAATTATTCCACATCTTTGTCATGGAGGATCAAGTATAGATTGAAATGGCGTATTGCGAATGTCTCAAACTGCTTTTTTTGTTTGTAAAACTTCTAACTTTCAAAGGAGAGTTGTTGCTGCACTACCCATAACCATACTGCAAATATGAATAAAAAAGATAAAAATAGAACAATTGAAGGGGTGGCATTGTGAGAAATTAATTTGAGTGGAAATAGTATTCCCGTTGCACTGGGCAGCTTTCCAGCGACGTAGTTAAAATACGGATCTATTTCCACTGATCACCAATATGGATGCATAGCTATTTGATTATTTTAAGACTCTCAAGTAGAACTTCATTATTGTTAACATGGAGCTGAGTTCAATTTATTTTCATCCTAGTAGCTAGTAAGCAACATCGAGCTCGGTTAGCACTTGCTTGGCTGTTGATAGCTAATGCTTGACGCTTTTCCCATTTGCATGCCATAATAATAATTTGTGTCAATTGATTATTTCAACACGTTTAAGCATTTTTGGTCAGAATTTACAAGCATAGCCCGAATTAGGTTAGAGTATGATGCCTTCCTAATTAAATTTTAAATAAATACTACTGTTTGTCCCACATGTTCCCGCTTGTCTCACACTAGTCCTGCTCAACTAAAACTTGTCCTGCATGTTGCACACTGTTGTTTCAACATTGTTCCTAAAACCCAACTAAAATATCACAAAGGTGGTTTACTTATCTATTAATTCCACATACCCGAAATTTTTGAGAATTGGTTTGATTGGACTCTGTTTACAAATTTACGCATCGTCGATTTCTACTTTTGAAAGCTGCCACTGAGTATACACAGCCATATAGAAACCGGTTGGCGCCTGGGATCGCACCGCCTTTATTACAACCGTACAACTTGCGGACACTAGTCCATTAGATTGCATGGTGATATTGCAGTATCGTGAGTTTTAATTTTGTTTACAATTCGTGCATAAAAATTAATGTTTATTTGAGTCTTGAATAAACATTGATATTTGTATGGTATACAAAGTTCTTGAAAAATTTTAAAAGGTATACCACGGTAAAAAAGGTTGAAGAACACTGGCCGCTTGACGATGTGGTGCATCGCGCTTATCGTTGAAAATGCGCTTGCCACGGTACCTCGATTCGGCGGACCCTTGCTGGGATAATCATGTGCGAGAGGATTGCTTGACTCCTCGCCGTCGCAGGTGGCTCATCTAGTCCACACCCAACATAGACCTCTATCCGGACGAAAGACCGTGGTTCTTCATATGATTAAGGCGTCTTATCGGCTTACCCGATAATTATACCCTTAAATATTATTAGTATCAGCCAAGGCTTAATCGAGCGAATAGGCTTTTTCAGAAGTGCACAAATAACTGGTGGCCCTGTTTTGAATATATATCATTGAATGGAATGTATTTATATTGTAATAAATTGAAATTGTAACAAAGTCCAGCAAAAAAATCAAGACGATGCAAAAATAACAAAAAGTATGGCAATTTCTTAAAAATAAAAAATAAAATCGTATTATCATGAAAACAACTGAATGGCAATGCACAATAAATGTTAAGACTGTACTGAAAATACATGGATTTGTTTAAACTTTGGAGTTCGGCAATGAAACGTCAAAAAGAAAAATTAGATACCCAGCGACTTTATATGTTTCAGAATACTATATAATAACCAAACGAGTTAATATTTCAGTATTTCGATGCAAACAGTCGTCGTCAAGGTAAATAAATATATATTAGTGTCGCAACAGTCAGACGGTTTTATAATGACGGGTATGGATTTGTGTAAAGAGGCTTTATGTTGAACTTAACAATTGCTTTGAAAACATTTACTGTAAATATACTTTTCAATTATGAAATAAATACAATTATTGATTTAAAAGTAAATTATCAATATCGCTGACAATGTCTTGTGCTTCTTGGATAGACACAGTGCCCCCCTGATTAACATCCTGAATGGGGTAATAACTATAGGACGTGGGGTAACTCGTTTGTATTCTGTGCGCAGATGGAACCTTCAGTGAGGTCGAGATACTTAGTTTAGATGAATTTTCTGAAGAACTTGACGACAATCTTGGGTACGTCATTCGCGGAATAGGTGACGTTGCGGGGCGGAAATTTTGGTTTTGAAAGTCTGGTTGACTGCTGTGAATTGGGGTTCGTTGTACGCGCGGAGGATTGTAATGCCTGGAGTCCCATCTCGGTTGGTTTTGTGGCGCAAAATGCTGATGGTGGGAATAATCTCTTGAGGATGCTAAACTAGAACGTGAAGACGCGCGAGCAAAATTGTCTGTGGCTTCATCTTGGTGCCTGGGTGACGTTGATAGCGTGAGATGAGTCTGCGCGCTAACATCATCTGGATCATAGTTTACGTGGTTAGGATAGGCTACCGGTGGATTCAAAGGCGTCATTTCTTCAATAGGCTGTAATTCGCTTTCATAACCGTGCTGGTAGTATTGTTCTGGCGTCTGTCTGAAAGAAGGTGACATTGTCCTGTAATAATCGGGTTGATCTTGATAATATCCAGTACTTTTAGGAAAGTGTTGCAAAGTTGGGTATTCAGTTTTTCGTCGATCGATTCCGTCGTTGTCAAAATATGAAGGGTGATCGAGTTGTGGGGTTGATGCGGTCATTACAAAACGTAATTTCGAAGGGTAGTAGGAATCTAAAAATATATATATAAATTCTGTAAAAAGTACGGTGTGGAATTCAAACTTGACATTTCAACAGTTGTTAAAGAAAGTCGAATGTGCAAAAATAATTCATCTCAGTTATTTTGTATATATATATGTGAAACTTTGTAGTGCATATTCATTTCATTTTACTTTCGAGAAGTTATTCGGAAATATATATCTTTGAAGCAACTGAAAATCACAGCAACATACCTGATGTTGGTGATGGCATCCAGCAGTTGTCGCTATGTCCATATTTTCTACAGTTTTCATCACATTGCGGACCCAATTCACTTGTTCGTGTACTTTCATTGTCTTGTTGACTATTTTGTCGTTGCGTAACAGGGAAGATCTGTTCTTGAGTTGCTGAAATGTAGGTAATTACAATGAAACTTACGGAAAAGTGCGAAGAAGACGGAAAATAAAATACGATAGAAATTGAAACTGCAAGCAATCGAATTCAATATCAAATAATAATAATAATACCTTGTTCGTCCGTTATTCCAAGATTCCCAGTTTCAGAATCACTATCACCACGTCCACTGTCTCTATCGGCAGCTCGTACGGACGAAAATATTACGGTAGTCGGTGCAGACTGCGAAAGTTAATATATATGATTATTTGTGGAATTCGTGCCAAGATTATGGGTGCTTATTAGGATGTATAATCTTGTAAAAATACTATCTATGTTTTTACATCTAAATTTCGCGTGTGGAAGCTCAAATATCTATCAGCGAAAAAAGTTACCTTTGAATCTGCTTTAAAAGTCTTGAGTTGACTTTGCGCTTGAAGAATTGACGATTGGGATACAATGACGTCATCTCTGCCTGTTACGTCATCAAGTCTAAAATTTGAGAAACTGAAATTAAAATTCTATTTATATACAAATTATCAGTTTCGTTATTCATTTGTAGTCTGTTATTGCATTTTTATTGTATGGAGAAATGGAGAACACTGTGTAAATCTTACCTATTTGGAGACGAGGTGGAAGATGGGTTATTTAGACTTCTCGGTTTGAAATAACTGGAATGCTCTGGCCTTGGAGTATTGTTTAAATTAACAGGCGCTGTAATCCACGCTCTTTTTTTACTCTCAGCAGTTTTGATGTTGTATGTGTGGTCCTGAAAAAAATTGTATTTGTAAATATATAAAGTTTGGTGGTAAATGACTTTTGCGCGATAAAAAATAAGTCATAATATGATGCGCTGTCTAATGTATTGAAACATTCTCCTACCTTTTTTGCCTTTCGTTTTCTGCATAAGAATATACAAACAATGACAATAATAAGAACACAAGATGCTGCTCCAAGAACGACAGCTAGTAGAATATATTTCTTGTCAAATCCTGCGTATCGAACAGAGGGATCGGGTAGATTTTCGTCAGTAACTTTCACATGAATTAATATATTTGCAGAGAGAGGTGGTGTGCCGGAATCGCTTGCCTAAAACAATTTATGTATGGTTAGTTTGGTTACCGCATTGTATATAACTAATTTTGCTAATTTTCTTTCATTCGATTGGTTCATTTTTGGTCACACGGAAACTTTTAACACCGGATATTACTAAACTTAATGCGAGAGAAAAGATTGGTGTTGGTGGTCGTCTACCTTGCTAGTCTTCAGCTTGCAATCATGTATTGTCAAAGACAATATTTCAGAAAACCGATGTATATATATTCTAATTGCTAATGGAAATATAGCCCAATATATATTACCTCAATATCCACAGTATGCCATCCTAAGATATCTGTCAAATTTTCGTTGCTGAAGTTCAATCTCAATTCACCATTTATCGGGTTCATAATGAATATGGTAGGATCAGTAGCATTCGGCTTGATGACTTTTTCGTCTTCTTTTATTATTTTGTAATTGATTTTGGAGTTGGACCCATAATCCGAATCTATTGCCTGTAATAAGAATTTCATATTTAAAAATTCAATTTTATTTTCATGCATGTATATAGCTTCTATTATTATACGAGTTTATTCATTACTACAAAAGTACTTTAAAATATTCAACTAATAGTTTGTTAATTTACATCATGATCTTCTTTCGAGTGATATTTTTCCAGTCAATTATGAATCCTTTCATAAACAAGTGATTTTCATTCAGAATATATAGGAATTGCGATAGTCATTCCATCATTTGTTTATAAGGATTCTAATTTATCTCACCTCTACTTTCATTATAAGTTGATCATATAAAATAGTCGAATAAACTTCTGCATTGTCACCATCAGGATTGATAAACACTGGTCGATTATCATTGACATCTGCAACTCTTATCACAATTGAACAATTCGCTCTCGATGACGATTCCCAGCCTTCATCTCGCGCTTCTACCATCAACTGAAAATAATTTATGAACTAATTAAAAATTTGCCCACGTCGATTGTTATTCCAAATCAATAGCAGTCGTAGTTTTTGTTTTTCAAGTCTATGCACTAGCTCTCAACTTACCCTCCATTCTTTTTGCTTTTCATGATCAAGTGGTTTTTTCAATCTGATGTCTCCAGATACTTCATTGATTCCAAAATAATCAGTGTTACCATGGATGATTTCGTATCGAATAATTCCGTTTCTGGATGGCTCGATTTCACCTTCCTATAAATATGATCGAGATAATTTACTTCAGGAAATAAGGTTTTAGAAAGTTATAATTTAAACGAAATTGCTAATTAAATAAACTATACTGTAACCCAACCAAAGCGTGTACCTTATTTTTCCATAAAGACGGAGGATATGCAGCGTCCTGATCCAAAGCTTGTACGTTGATAACAAAGGACCCAATTTTATTGTCTTCTGCAATCATGACAGCTTTTGCAGGAGAGTCAAAAATCGGAGAGTTGTCGTTTATGTCTAGCACGACGATAGTGATGTTTTTGACAGCACACCTAAATTGATCATAATAAATTTTTCATATTATAACTGGAAAGATACCTTTCTATTATACTTGGAAACAACGACCAAACAAACCTACAAATTAAAATACAAACGATACTGTATTAGATAAAGATAAAAGTAAAGATTCTAGTAGAGATGGAAAAATTCATGAATATTTTATATAGATGGTCAAACGCAGCATGATGCGCCACATATTATTTTTAATTGCAAAGAACGAACAAACAATGCTTACTTTGCTGGAGTGCCTCCGTCGCATGACTTCAACTTGATTATATAATATTGAAATGTCTCTCTATCTAATTGTCGGCCAGTCGTGAGAAGTCCGTCGGTTGCAAGATTGAACTCATCATGTAACTCTACAAGATCTAGGTAAATTGAGAAACGTTGGTCATATATATTTTTGAATCAACCTTAGAAGACATATAAATTGATTTTGAAGCTTCTAAATACCTTTCATTGATTTATGTTTTCCGTATGTCTGGATAGTCGAAGTAACCTGGCCGTTCAGTCCATTGTCGACGTCAGTTGCGCTGACGTACGCTACGTAAGTTTGTACGCTGTCAGATTCGGGAATGTAGCCTGAATTGATGAAAAATATTCCATGATAAATATTTTCATTTACACAGCAAAGTGAAAACTTAGAAACATATGGAGTAGAAGGTAAATGGGATCGAGTAACAGAAAACAATACATCACCTGTAAAGTTGACAGAATCCACGATAAAATTAACTTTAATGATAGGAGCATTGTCGTTTACATCCTCGACGTTTATTATGAGCCATGTTTTTCCAACTCTTGGTTTTTCAGGATCACTGTCGCGCGCTTCGATCAGTACTCGAAGTCTGAAACAAAAAAATATATTTTTTTTAATATATCATAGGCATTAATGTTAAATTAGTTTGGAGTAAAATCGATATAAAAAAGGATCAGGAAAGGCTAAAATATTTAAAAAATCTTACCCATCATGAATCTCGCGATCAACCTTTCTTTTCAATCTAACTTCTCCATTTAATTTGTTCACAGAAAGCAATTTGGATGCAAGAGTAGCAGACTTGCCAGCAGACGACGTCTTAGGTATGAAATATCTGACAGACCCGTAGTCGCCAGAATCAGCGTCTTCGGCATGAACGGTTGTTACTAACAATGATTCTCCATCATTTTCTCGTAAATGAGCACTGTATTCCTGAAAAAGCATGAAAAGTAGAAGGTTTATAAACTTGTCGTAAAAGAATTACAAATAAACGACAAAATTTTGTTTTTGTGAGCCGATAAATTTTCTTATATGTCGCACAGTTGCGAAAGATCGTCTCCGCATCACACGAAAACGCTTTGACGTTTAACCCTTTCCATAAGGGATAAACCAATTGCCCATCCCTGTCGATACCGCCATGTTTTGCGATCAAAATTTAAAAACGCTACCGAACTTGTCCATTAAAAAATAAAAGTCAATACTCATACTTCATACTTTAGCGTATCAGTCGCCACTATCTACAAGGAAAACATTCATATATCATAAAATATTCATATTAAAGCGGCATCGCTATAGCAAAGGTGAGCGCAATTATCTTTACATCAAAACCGGTTGTATTCACTTAAAAATCATGAAAATCTACTGTTATTTAATTGTGAATTTTTTTTTTATAAAAACAGACGCAAATTTTATCCTCTATCGGGTATGGCCGTTAACGACTCGAGCATTATACACGCTTAGTTGACAATGAAAAATAATTTCTCCAATATGATAGCAGAATTTACGAATTTTCGCAATGTGCTCAACACCTACAATTGCTTTCACTCACAATAGCGCATTCCTCTGTTCATGTAAACCGGGGATAAATTGCCGGTTACCTCCAAATGGTTTGTCTGGTATGTGATATCCAAAATGTATTTATTGGGCACCGTAAGCTTATGAAACATTAATATATTTTTACAAAAATTACGACCACAATCAACCAAATTTTCTAACCTGTTGGTCGAATACCGGATCCTGATCATTTGCATCTTCTATGTTGATAACAGCTGTCACATGATTAGAAAGAGGATCACTGCCTCCGTCTCTGGCTGTGAGTTTTAGTTCTATTTTCTGAATTTCTTCGTGATCTGAATCATCAACAAAAAAATATGATTGTAAGATTTTGTAAGTTTAATAGCCTACAGTAAGATTTCCATCTAAAGTAGAAAGTGTTTTGATGAAACGATTCTCAAATTAAAACAACGCTACCGAATAAACGAACAAATACTATTATACCTGGTACTTTTAAGACTTTGAATTGTAGATGTGAGATGCCAAGATTGTCTTCATATGTTTCTACAGCAAAGTATGAATTTTCTTGTAATTTGTATGAAATCTGTCCGTTCGAACCTTAAAATATATCAAGATTGGTTTTCTCAGCTGTCTTTATTGTGATGAAAATATTTACGAAATTTTGTACAAATATCTTACCAATGTCAGGGTCTGTGGCTTTAAATTGATCAAGGTTGATGATATCACCAACTATGACGTCATCTTCTCGTACACTTGTTTCAAATTTCTTATTAAAAATCGGAGGATTATCATTGACGTCTTCAATAATAATGTCCATATTGAGCATAGTGAAGAAACGGTTTGGAAGCATAACGGCCTAAAAGGAAAATGTATATAAGCTGTTTAGTGTTGTAAGCACTCGTGAAATTTATTTTATTTTATCAAATCATGCTTTAAAATAATTAATATTCCCAAAGTGTATGCAAAAATCCAGAAATTTTTTTTTTTATTAATATTGGGTTTTTTGAGAACCTCATTATAAGAATCAATAACATCAAATTCATTTTGAAGAAATAGTTATTGTCCCCGACAATTTTAAGACCAATGTTTTATGTTATAGCAGCAAAATGTCATTAAATAAAACCAACCTGAACTTCAATGATGCATTGCTCCGCACTTTCACATAAGTCTTCCCTGTCAATCGGTTTTGCCAACGTTATAACTCCCGTATTTTTGTCTAAGGTTAGTAACTCTACTTCTAATGGTTCGGAAGTTGGATTTCGAGTTACTAGATTTTGACTCAATAACTTGAATGTTCTCCCCGCTCTTTCATCATAATCTAAGCTGAATATCTTTGCCATGTTAGCAACAATGAATCCTGAATGACAGAATGTTTCCGTTATTGAAATTGTTTTATGTTAATGGTGGTGTTTCGTGAAAAGGAAATATTGGGTTGCAAACATAGAAATAAAATGTTTGCCTGTTTGGTACGTTATGTTAGAAAATGTCATTCACGCATCCTCAAATTCGAATGCAAACCAGTCACAACCAAACAACAAAAACCAACCTTCTTGTTCATCTTCGGAGACATATTTTGTAACTCTGTCTTCTGTCCTGCTTGCCATAACAACGTAAAATCCTTCCATGAGTAGCAATGCCATCGTTGCAATATACATCCATTGCATTGTATATATTATTCCACTCTCCAACTCTCCGATAATAGCAACACAATTATTATTCTTATATTGTATGGCTGAGAAAATAATTGGCTGCGAATTTATACACAGATGTCAATAAAGATAGATATTGAATAAATAAACTTGCATTTATAGACGACCCATCGTTAGGAATGATGCGCTCAAATTGTTGTGAATAAGTCTTTTGTGATCAAATATCATTTCAGACTTTAAAATAATATTTGTGTTTAAATAAAGCACGATATTTCAAGAGAATTTAACAGACAAAGCATGGGGCATAAATAAAAGCGCGGTAAGTTAATTGCCCACGTTCGAATGAATATTTGTACGATTTTACATCAATACAACGATATAAAATGAGTAGGGATAAATGCAGACCAGTGCTACTACACCATGCGCAGAGTAACGACAAACAGCGAAGATGAATTTTCGTACTATTCTATAGCACTTCGCTGAAAATATCTTACGGAATATTATCTGTATTATCTTCAACATAATTATCACCATTTTTATGATCACTCTGTCCGAGTGTCTATCAGGTGATTACGGTGAAACTAAATTTGTATTTGTTTGGATCGGCCACGACCCGCTGATAATGTATGCGTAAAATATCAGGGTCAATACTTAACGTTCTATATTGCCGTTAACCCACCTTACAAATCTAATTAAGGCCAAAATATAAATCGTAGAAGATTTAAATTCGTTCGCTAAACATAGAGCAAAGATAAGCGTACTATTTTGCCGATGGGCTAAGAAATTTTCTTAGTCCTTCTCTATTTCTACGTCTTATAAAATTCATAATTGCAATTGATGCTTTTAAAGACGCCATTATGTTTAATGACTATATACAAAAAGCGCTATTATTTTCTGCTCCACTTCATTTAACTTGCAACAATGGTTATCCATTAGCCTTCTACTGAATTATTCCAATTGAGTATATGACCAGTTTGGCCACTTTAGGGAAATTCTATATCGTGTTACACCATATAATCGTTATAAATCATGAATCGTTATGGAATTGCCGGTACGCTGAGCAGATTATACAAGCAAAATACTCTTTTCCTTCAAAGGTCGCAATAAAAATTTCAACACGATGCGTTTTCTTATTTAAATTAAATTGGTATGTTCTGTTTATAAATACGGTAGCTTCCAATTATATACTGTTGTTTTAAACAATTTTTGACAATATATAAATCATTCATAAATACAATAAGCCTTTCAATATAAACAGTTACAATTTTTGCTAAGAGATGAGTCTTTTTAGATCCAAAAGGTGACACTTCATTTTAATCGTGTGAAAAACAAGTGTGAATTCAAGGTCAAAAATTTTAAACAATAAGTGAACTTGACGTAAGCGCAACTCGGCGTGGAATAGTGAATTATTTTCTAATATATACTAAGTATTAATTTAATTAAAATAAACGAGGGTCATAGATGTAATATAACAATATATAGTTTTGATGAAGAACATCACCATCGGGTTGCAACCCCCAAATTCATTTTTAGGATCATGCTGAAAGTTTATGTTCTCCTATTAATAATCTCCGGAATTCATGAACGTGATTGGAATCGGGTAACTTTCACAAACTAGTTCGTTCGTTATTCATTCCAAAGCTTTATTGCCCAGATGCACATTTCTGAATACTAAACATGAGAATTCAATACTTGTTCAATTTGGCGTTTGTGTCTTTCTTACTATTAAAATATTGAAAACAAATTTATTTTCAAACAATAAAAACCTCCCTACAAACTGCTGACAATTAAAACTAACGCGCATCTTGCACATCTTCAATCACGTCTACATTTGCTCCGTAGAAACCGTCAATCACCCGAAAATAAAATATTTAAAATGTTACGATCCATCACACGTAACCTCCAATCTAGTTGGTGTCATAGATAATTCATTGGAATATGGGTTGCGTTGCAAACACTGCAATCAACTTTCAAACGTAAAATTCAGGTTAGCTTTTTATCAAGTTTGTTACATACGTAAATCTCGCGTATAAGGCATCTTCTACTTTAAGCCATTATTGGATCAACGGTGTATAATAGACAGTGCACACGGTAGCTCTCAGCTAATTACGACTGCTATTCTGTGGGATTTTTGACAGTAAACAACTGCAAGTTTTCCGCTCAGTAATCTCTTTAACAAGACTAAAAACATTTGCCAAAATATAATAAATATTCTATCATTACGGATGTAGTACAAATACAAAGATTTGGGATTAGCAAAACTTCAAAATTTAGTATAGATTTCGAATATCCCATGATTGTGGATCTGGAAGGGTTATTTATTGCTCAGGTATCGCCATCGTAAATGCGACGCTCGACGCAAAATTCCGGCATGCATAATTTAAAGTGTGAAAATGCGACTAATATCTCATAAACAGTGACATTTCGACTTCCACATGTATATCTTTCATACCGGTACAACTAGAAGACAATATGGGTAAAACTTCCATGAAACCTACACAACATTTTAAATAAAAATATCAAACTAACAACTAGAAATTGAAACTGACGAAGTACAAAATAATATCGCTCGACAAAAATTGGTATTCTCATGCGTTGTCGGAAAAACCGGCCTTCTTAGCAATCAGCACTTCTAATGGCTATATAATATACACGAAATTTGATCGCTTTCTGTCAAGTGCAGTATACAGTATACAGATTGTTAATTCTTAAATTTCCATTTAATTGCGATATTGGAGATCTTACTGGTCGATTGCCCTGCATAACATATAAAAACTAATTGAATACGGATATTAATGATAAATTTGAGCTATGTTTCAGAAATGAATAGGAAATGTTCGAAACTCGAACAATATTTCCATGTTATAAACACTTTTGGAATGGTCCCTTTCTATTCTATTCATCTGTCTAATTATACAATAACTATACTGCTGCTCCAAGGTATAACCAGTTAGAATGACAGTGAAACTCAGAGAAAGTCGAAGCAAAAAATTGGATCTATGATTAAAAATAAGTTTCTACTTTTTATAATACTATAAACTTCGCTAAAAACTGCATTGCTTGACTGGATTCAAAACTAGTGTATCACATTTTCGTTACTATAGCTCGGTATCACTGACTCTAAAATTTGTTTTAAACAATTTAACAAATAACTTTTGAGGTACATATGAAATATATGTAAACAACGCTGTTTAACTCTAGAACCTCAAACAAGTAGATCCACTGAACGGGCCCCGGGCGAGGAAGTTGCCGAATGAAATGCTCTTCACACCCGCACGACGTACGTATTTGTTTATAAACCCATGCCGTCGCTTTCGCTTTTTTCCGGTGTCGTTCTCAGAAGCAGAGCGAAAAAGTCTACTTCGCTGTCCGATCCGGTGCGTTTAGTCTTGTTTAATTAGATTTTTCGCTACTATACGTTACTTTGTGCTGTACCACAGGACTGCCGGTGTACTTGTCTAATTATCGCTCTTTTTGTTTCAATGTTTACGTCCCAAAGTGCGACATCTGGCAGTACAGTGTTTAGTTTACTCCATTGGGCGGCAATTTCAAAGGCAAGACTGATTATCTCCTGTCGTAATATTCTCACGCGCTGCAAGTTAACAGAATTTTTATTGCATGTACCTGACTAACGTTAATACGTCGGATAGACAGACTAATCATAGAACGTTTGTTGCATCTGCAGAATATACAGACTAGATTTGCGAAATATAGAGAATAAACACATCGTTATTTCAGATCTCGTGAAGTCAATTCATTGACAGAAAATCTACGAAAAAAATGAACAAATCAGAAAGTTTTATGGGAAATATTTATATTCAAACTATTTGGATAATAACATTAATTGTAACAAAATTGTATCATTACATGTTATATGATTATATTACTGAAATATTAATTTACTCCACATTTCATAAAAGTTGGTGGAATCTATAAATTGAATTTGCGTTTTGCTATTTTATCAATCATCTCAAAAACACTAACGGTATGGAAGAAAATTTAACTATGATAATGCTTTCATTCACAATGGTTAACGTCCACCTGTCGGTATATTTGATGATTTCAACATATAAATCGGTAATTATCGGACAGGTCGACATTTAAATAGAAGCACACGATAACCTTATCAAATCTTGACACAATGGTTATAATGATAATATGATATTCATCATAATTATTTATCAAGAGTGATGATGCGCAATCATTTTCGGATGCACCAAACTGCCTCATTACCGATTTTACGCGGAGAAATTTAGAAATACGTCTGTTTACCTGAACGTCGGATACGCCTATTAAATATCCGTTGTTATGGCCCACGTCCGAAGATATTGGCCAGGCATTAAACTTATTTTATCGTCTGAGGTTTATTTTTTTAATTTCACGCTTTTTGCTCCTATGCGATGTCTGCTACTAACTTGCAATATTTGTTTAAGTTCCGCTTTTCTGAAAATTTGTCGCATGACTGCAATATTAAATTGTGTTATTATACCTCGTAATATTACATGCTACTTGATTACCTAACCACGAATCGGGCCTCTCAGTTAAACTGTCCATATAATCAGTCCGTAGTTTAGCAAACTTCAATGTAGTCCATCTAGAACCTGATACGAAGTATATCATGGATATGAGCATGCCCCTAACAAGCTATTTACTTTAACAACACTAAATACTCAACTACATACAACAAGCCCAAGTTTGATTTCAGAATATTTTAACGTATCACATCGCTGCGGTACTGAGGGTATCGACACAACCACTGCTCCAAATCGCTTGAAAGTCGATATATTTATAGTACTTTTTAGGAAGCACTGTAATTTCACAACAAAGTGTAAAATCTTTTGTATTGAATGAATCTAATGTCATTTGTTTGTATATTTAATAGCCATATTGTTTGTGTATTAATTTTTCAATACAGACACGACAATTTCGCTGCAACATATTCCGACAAGCTCACGCGGTGAACCGCGTTTACCGGCGGAAGCGCGTGTTCTGTAAGATAACGCCATGTTTGTATATTGATAACAGGCGCACTCGTCGACCCCGATAATACACTTTCAAAAATTCCGTAATTTGAATTAATATTCAAATAAGCGGTATATTCTGTATAAAAACTGGTATATATACGCACAGAAACCGATATTGTTTAAAGCCAAGTTACGCCATATTGTCGGTAATGATTTCCTCATCAACACAAGTGACATTATCTCATCAAATATACTTTTATCATGTCATTGAACTCTCGTTAAGATAATGACTCTTCTGTCAGGACAGAAAAGTAATTATTTATCATTAAACATCCAATCAAGGACTATTTTCCTCTCTTTTCTATAACAACGATGCAACGTGAACGACGTATAGTCGTTCGGGACTGAACATCTATGTGTATCTCTAATCCCATTGATTCTATAGACACGTTAGAATTTTATTTATCGACCGTAATGGTCAATATACACGGTACTTAGTCGTAGACACAAAAATATTCACTAATGACTGACGGCAAATACTCGTAGAACATCAATTCATAGCCACACCTTTCTTGTTTAATATATACGACTCATTATATAAATTTGTTTAAATGAAAACAAGTGAGATATCACTGAAAGATCCTATTAAAATTCGCTAGGTATTGGAAAGAACAGAAACAATGCTGCCTTCTACTCAATACTAACATATTCTATTCTTTACAGAATAAAATATTCAAAAAACTTTCGGAGGGGGACAGATAAATTTACACCAATTTTCGCCCAAGAAAATGTTGAAATCCTCATGTAACAATCCAATCGCGAAGTTGTAAGGGGCCATCGCTTCACTGCGATTGAACCTCGAAACAAAAGAACTAACCAGCAAAATATAAATGTAAGAAATATAGCCCAAACGTCGAATCCCGAGCCTTATCATACAACATTGGTTTCTGCTATCAAAACCTTT